CCCACCCTGTCCTCGGTGCCGCGGCGCGCGAGCCCCCTCCCGGGCACCCCAGTGCCTCCCTGCGCTCTACTTGCCGGGATTTCCGCCTCGGCTCCCCTAGGTCCCCTTGTCATCCCCTTGGGTCCCCCCACATTCTCACGCGTCCAGACCCACACCGCCCCTTCGGGGGGCCACTCCTGGGCTCCTCGCCAGCTGTCGTTTTCAGACTGCCCCTGCGAACTTCCCTGCGCCCCGGCCCGCTCTCCTCTCCACCCCTCCCTCCCTCGGCGTCGGCGGGAACGGTGCCTGTTTGGGGCCGGTCGGGGCCGGGTTCCTGGGAAGACCAGTGTGGGGTGGGAGCCCCCGTGGCCTGTGCATCCCGAGGGGCCCCGCAGCCAGCTCTGCCGGGTCGGGCGCCGCCGGGGTGAAGCGCAGACCCAGCGCAGCTGAAGGAACGTGTCCTCTGCGGGCAGCGCGATTCTGCCCCTTGTATTGACGGCTCCTTCCTTGGTCTGGACTGGAGGGACCGAGATGTGGCTGGTTCTCAGCTGATGCCACTGCTGCCTTTTTTGGAAGGGAAGAGATAGTTGGGGGGTTGTGCAGCGCCCTGATGAGGACTTGGCTGGAAAGGTGGGGCTGCCCCTGGTGGCCCCCCTTCTCTGCCCCCATCCTCAGGAGCCTGGGGATGAGGTGTGAGCACAGGACGGGAGGGTCCTTGGTGAGGGAGAGTGAATTGGGCTTAAATTGTGGAGGAGCGACTTGGGGGAGCCGAAAAGCCCGAGGGGCCTCTCCCTACTTTTCTGCCGGGTGTAACTTTAACCCCTGCCAGACTGTATCTCGCCCTCATGGAGACCGCTTGCCAGACAGACAGCGGACTGGAGACCCAGGGAGGTCTGCTGTTGTGACCCTTCTCCTGGGGAGCGGGAGTTTGTTCAGAGGGACTGGGCAGTACCTTGGCATTGCCTTGCTGAAGGTCAGGTGTCCCCTCTGGCTCACAGGGAGACAAGGGCAGCTGGCGGTGCTGGAGCACCAGCTTGAAGCGATGCTGGGGCCCAAGTAAAGGACCTCTGCCTCCCCATGTCCCCGTTCCTGCAGGACTGGGCCTGATGCCCCTTGTCTTCCGGGGCCCCACAGACTGGCAGCCCAGCCCCACCCCAGCGCCACCAGATGCTCTGTACCCCTCCTTTGGCCGTATCCACTGGGTAACAGTTATCCCTGCAAACCTTGAACGGCCTTCTGGACAGTTGGGCTCTGAGGGTGTCCCCCGTGGCTCAGCTCAGGGAGGCTAGACTTGGGCCGCTCCCAGATTGGCTTGCACTTTGTGGGACCAGAGAGGAGTCAGCCCGGCAGTGGCTCCCCATCCTGAGGGGGCACATGGGGCGACGAGGCCCGGGCTGATTGGCTAAGACCTCGTGGGGGCGCAGGCAGGACAGCCCCCGAGCCCAGCGGACCATCTCTCCATCCTTGGTCTCATCCCGCCCTCCCTTCCGCCACTGGTCCTTCAGTCAGTCCTGTTCTGGTCAGGAATGCTGAGAGGGGAACTCCGGGCTGGCCTCCGGCGGGTGCCGTCAGAGCAGAGACAGGAAAGTGCTGCTCCAGTGGCCGGTAATAATAGGAATAGCACGGAGGGAGCAGAGGAAGGAGCCTCAGCTGCGCCCGGGCCGGCCGGGTGGGCGGCGTGTTTCCTGGAAGAGGAAGGATTAGGTGAATCAGGGACAGAGTCCGGAGCCAAGTTCTGGCCCCGGCTCTGCCACAGGTGAGCGACGCGACTGCCGGCCTCCGTGGGTATCCCGTCCTAGCCAGGGAGGGTGGGCAGGGATAGGCCGGTGTCCACAGCCTCTGGGCCGTCCAGCTCTGGTTGCTTCGCCCGGTGTGGAATGGCTGGTTATTGACCAGGCTCCCCGCGAGGCTGGCACTTGTCCTCAGCGGCTGGGCTCGCAGCACAGTGCCTGGCATGGGGTGGGCATGGTGAGCGCTCCCTGGCGTAGACGGTCGGAAGGCTCACCAACCCGTGCTTCTCCCCCGCCGCCACTTCCTCCTGCCTGGCCAGTCCTGTTTATCTGTTGCCTTCCCTGGGTGGACCCCTCCTCAGCTCCTGGCTGGCTCAAGTGCTCCCCTCTCCCCCTCCTGTCCTCTGGTCACACCCCTCCCCGCCCCACTAACTTGTCCACCCCAGTGAGTTTGAACAGAGTGCCTGGCATGCAGTAGGCGCTTACCGAATGCCTCTTGGCTAAGTGAGGGGTGGCGGGTGGATTCGTGTGGGTCTGGGGTGTGTGTGTTCGTCCAGATGCAGCTCACCCCGGTTGGCTCATCTCGCCACTTCTCACCTTCCGGTCCCGGATGGAGCTGGCGGAAGTGCTCAGCATTCTCTGGATGTCATGTTCTTTCCCCTGCGGGCAAACATGTGCTGTTCCTTCTGCCGGGAATGCTTTGCTCCAGCTCCTGCTCTTCCTCAGGACTCAGCTCTGGCAGCGCCTTTCCCAGGGAGCCTTCCCTGGCCCCCCTTGTCTGGGTCCCCGTGGGCCTCTTGTAGGTGTGGACTGGGCCTCACCCAGGAGACCCAGCTCTGCGGGGCAGGACCCTCGCTTGCGCTCCCTGGCACCTGGAGCCCAGCCCGGGCCCGGCACCGAGCAGGCCCCCAGTGACCTCGGCAGTGTGGCGGGCAGTTGGGATGGTCACGTGCTTCTCTGACATGGCTCTTGCTTCCTTACAGGGAAGCACCTTCCATGGAGCGAAAGGAGTGCCCGGACCCTGCCCCGACCGACCCGCGCCAGCCTCAGCGGTGGCCAACGCGCAGATAGCAGTGCCGTCCCCGGGGTAAGACGGGCCTCCCTCCAGGCCTCGTGGGGTCGTCAGGCGCCTCCCCGGCCCAGGGGCAAAGGACACCTCGCCATCTCAGCAGCGGCCTTTGCTCTTCTCGCTGGGGCCCTGGGGCGCCCAGGACAGGGGCAGCCCCCTCAACGGCCGTGCACTCACCCCGCACCAGGGTGGCGTTTCACTGGGAACCTCTAGGTTTTCTCCTCACCCGATCGCTTCCGCGGGTCATGATGCTTCCAGGCAGGGACCCGCCCTCCCAAGGGTGACCTGTGAGCACGGGCTGTGTGGTCCTGGGCCTCGGGGGAGGCCGCCACGGCAGCTTGTCAGCGCCTTGGTTGTGTCGACGCGTGTCTGAGGGAGCCAGCCAGTGTGGGGGCCTGTCCCCCACACTCCTCTCGTCTCGAGGCCATCTCGGGCCTGGGGTTTTTTGGCCTCTGCTTTGGAAAGCGGTTCCCAAAGGCTGGAGAGGGCCCTGGGGAGGCCTGAGGTGGGGTCAGGCCTGGGTTTGGTGCCAGCTGTCACACGCTGGGCGACTGGGTCCCTGAGCCTCAGTTTCTCCTCTGTTGAGGCCAGCGCCGCCCTCCTGTAGCATGATTTGTGCGCAAAGGGGAGGAGCCCTGAGAGTGTGTGGCCCAGAGCCTGCTCCCAGTCTGACCTGGGGTGCGTGTAGGCCATTTTATCATTTGTAAGACACCCCCTTGTGAGCGATTCCCTTTGATCAGCTGTGGGAGCAGGCAGTGACCTTCACCCCTGTTGACATGTGGAAACTGAGGCTCGGGGCGAGAAGCCACCTGCCAAGCCCAGTGGGACGGAAGGGGGCCTGGCCTTGACCCCAGAGCTTAGCCTCCGGGGCCCTTTCTGTTCTGGGGAGGAAGGCCTGGCCCCCCAGCCTGGCTGTAAAGGAAATGGCCCTTTCATTGTTTCGCGTTTGCTAGCGTAGTTGCAGGCTTACCACTGGTTTAAGTCGTGTTCTGATGTTTGTTGTCCCGTCAAAGTGGCATCTCCCTCGATCCCCGACTGCAGAGGGGCTCGGAGCTGCACGCCCACGCGGTGCTCGCAGACCGTGAGGCGCTCAGTGCCCCGCTTCTCTCCCTGTCACACCTCCCTTGAGCTCTTGCCGGGCGGCAGCAGGGGTGGGAAGTGCCCACTGCGGGATTCTGTTGACTCCTGTTTATCGGGACGAGGTCGCAGACCCGGCCAGGCCCAGTTGGAGTTTCCTGTTGGTTTTGAGGAACTGCACCCCAGAGGGCGGCTGAGCATGGCTCGGCAGGAGCAGGCAGGAGCACGCGGCCGCCGCAGGTCCTACATCTGGGAGCAGAATTCCTCCTCCCGGCCAGGAGTGGCTGGAGGAAGCCTGGAGGCCTCATGTCCAGGTTTGGGCCTCTGTCTGCCTGAGGCAGGGCCACGGGGAGGTGGGGGGTGTTTGCCTGAGTCTGGCCCACCAGCTGACCTGGTCAGCCCTGACTGGGCGGCTGGGGCAGGCAGGGGGTCTGCCCTGTGACCTGGGTCTCCAGGTGTTTCCAGGCCATTTCAGAATGAGTCTCAGGAGGGGAAATTTCCAGTGTGCCCAATGGCCTTGCATGTGGGGGGAACTGGGTTTGCGGGGTCCAGACAGGAAGGGGTTCTTGCAGAGCCCCTGGCGGCCCAGCTCTCCCTGTGCTGTGTTTCTCCCTCCCATTCTTTCCCTGGAGTCTTCTCTTCCTTCCTGCTCTTGCAGGGAGCCCCAGATTTGGCCTGTGCAACCACTGTTGTCCTCCGTGCTGGACCAGGAGGCCCAGCCTTGGGGAAGGGGCCCCAGGCTTCCAGAACTGACGCCCTGGGGTGGAGGCAGGGTCCAGGAGCTTGGTGGCCGCTCAGTGTGTGTTGGGGGTGGGGGTCCACTGACCGCCTCAGGGCTGCGTGAGGCTGAGGTTTTCAGGATGACTTTGACGCTCTTTCCCGTTGTCTGCATCCATGTCACTTAGCACGCTCTGCATTTAACTGTCTTTGAGGACTTCAAACCTCAGCGTTAAGTAGACCGCTGCCACAGAGAGGCTGTAAACCCCATGGCCTTGAGCACCATCGGGGTACTGCAGAGTGCCGCTGCCAGGCTCCCCAAGTCGGGTGTCTGCACATGTGTTGGTGGGGAGAGGGCCGTGGTGCCAGCGTCCTGCCCCTCAGTGCGTCCCTGGGGGCGGCCCCCTGCCGCTCGCCCACAGCCAGGCCTCTAGTCCTGGCTCCCTGGGGTGAGCAGAAGATGTGCCTCTTGGGCACTCCTGCCCACACTGGCCAGGCAGGCGGGCAGTCGAGGAAGGCAGCACTCATGCTCGCAGCAGACCAAGACCTGTGTCCGCCGCCCCTCCGCTCCCCTGGACCCAGGCCCCACGCTCCACTCGACCAGGCTCCTTCTGGCGTTGCCTGAGCGCTGTGCGCCGTGCCGGGGAGCGGGCGCATCGGGCCCAGCCTGTGAGGGCTGCTGAGCCTCTCATTCCAGGCGGCCCACAGAAGAAGGCGTCTCATCTGGGGACGCAGCTCTCGGGGGGTTGGAGCCCAGGTAGGCCCGGGAGACCTGCTTCCCGTGAGGCCCCAAGCAAGGTCAGACCCAGTGAGGCTTCCCCCCTTGTAGCTGTGCGGCCTGGGGCAGGGCACTTAGCCTCTCTGGGCCTCAGGCTGCACCCGGTGAAGGGCCTGGTACCACCTACCTCCACGACAGCGGCTCCACCCTCACGTCCGCTGGGCACGTGGCCATCACCAGGCCACCGTTTGCCAGCGTTTGCCAGCGCGTGAGGAGCGCGCTGCCCTGCTCGGCCACTTCACAGACAGACGCCAGGGGAGCCGCCCTCCCGCTTTCCTGGAGATGGGGAGTCTGGCAGGGGGAGTGCTGGAAGCAGCGTGGGCAGGGAGCAGAGCGGGCAGGGAGCAGCGTGCAGGTGGGGCGGGCCTGAGCTCCTGCTGCCCCTTAGCTGCGAGCCTTTGCAGCTGGCGGCCGCACCTTGCGCTTCCGTGAGGCTGAACCTGTTTGGGAGGCTCAGCCCCGACGTGAGAGTAGCTCGGCACTGAGGCTCCTTCAGCTCCCGCTCAGGCTGTCTGCTGTGGCCTTTCCCCAGGAAGTGAGGGCGTGTCCTTCCACACGGGGCAGTGCCCAGCCAGGCCAGGCAGCGCCCCCAGCCTGCAGGCAGCCCGCTGACTCAACGCAGCTGGGTGTGGGGGCCTGGAGGGAGTGCCCGGCTCTGGCTTGGGAGGGCCTGTTTCGCCAGATGACGAGGTGAGCCGTCTCCTCCCTCCTCCGTCCCAGGCCAGAGGAGGCTGGGCGGGTGCTGACTGAGGAACAGATTCACAGGCCGAGAGCCGGCACAGGGCCTGTGACCCGCGCCGCTCTCAGGCCCTGGGAGCGGCCCTCCCCTCCCAGGAACAGTGTTGGAGGGACAGCCTTCCCTCGGCCGAGGCACGCCGGCCTCCTGCCTTCCCTGGGCCCAGAGAGTTTCCCTGGCATCCCTGGGCTTAAACAAAAGGCCCTCTGTGCCCTGTTTACCCGCCACCCTGCCTGCCAGCCACAGCTCAGGTGTGGGAGCCAGATCTCTGCAGGCCAGTGTGGGGACCAGAGTGCGTGTGGGTGGTCACCCCGGGATGGGGCGGGGGGCAGTCCGTCCCTGCTCTGACTTCCGTCTGGAAGAAGCATCACCTCAGCAAAATAGGCTGGCCCCGGGGCCCTGGGTGGCCTGGTCAGGGCTCCCAGATTGGCGTGTACAACTCGGCCCTCACCCTTCCCAGCCTCTCCCACTGAATTCTGGGGGTTCTGCGGGGAGTAGTGGTAGGCAAGTACAGTGTCTCTCTAGGCCGGGCAGTGGGTGCACGTGACAGGCCTCTCAGATTTCTCACAGTAGCCCCGAGACGGCTGTTGTGATAGTTCCATGCTGCAGGGGGATCTGAGCTCAGAGAGGGCCAGTCCGCCATGTGCTGGCTCTGCGCTTACCCGCCCGAAGCCTTGCTCCCTGGGGGACGACTGGGCCTTGGGGCCTGTGCCGGGCAGGGCTCCAGGTGCGCTAGCCCTTTTATAGCTCGTGGCAGGTGCTTCTTGTAAGCCTCCTGCAACTGGAAATCATACAGCAAGGAGGGTCTTCTGGTTTTTCCCCAGGTATTTTTTCTGCTCATAAAAGTACCAAATTATAATAGATGAATGCCACAATCCTGCCGCCCTCAGACTTAACCACTTAGAATTCTAGGTAGAGCTTTCCAAATACTTTTTAAGACTTTATTTATGCGTATAAGAACTGGGGTGTAGGCCAGAGGTGCGGGGTGGGGGGGAAGAGGAGTCACCAGAGAGACAGAGTGGGGCGCAGAACAGGTGGATCTAATGACATGCACTGCTGAGGGGAGCAGCAGGAGGCAGAAGTCTGCTGCGCCCTGGGGGTCACTCCCTTGTTGAGGATCGAACTCATGTTGCAGGGGCTAGTGATGGCTTAATCGCTCTGAGACTTAACCCCTGTGCCACCAGGGAGGCCTGAGCTTTCCAGATTTTTCCATGCACACAGTAATGCATTAGCTACTGACATGCTTTTTTTTTTTTTTAAAGGTTTATTTATTTATTCGTACAGAACTGGGGTACAGGTCAGAGATGCGGAGGGTGAGGGGATTCACCAGAGACAGAGCGGGGTACAGAACAGGCAGATCGACGAAGTGCACTGCTGAGGGGAGCAGCGGGCGGGCCAGGAGAGGTCTGTCTCGCCATGTGGTCTCCTCCGGGGCAGGCGGGAATCGAACTCATGCGGAAGTGGTCTAAGCTTTTCTGTGCTGTGCTTTAACCCGCTGCGCCACCAAGGAGGGCCCCTGACATGCTTTTTAGCTGCATATTTTCTTGGATGTCATTTGGCTCCTCATAGAGAGGTCTGTGAAGCAGGTAGCGCTATTATTTGACAGTTGCAACAATGAGACTTGGACTAAATAATCTGCCTGGGGTCATGGAATTACTATGTGGGGCTGGGTTGCAGCCCGGGTCTCCCCAGCTCCAAATTGTGTTCCTC